AAAATTTGCCAGAGGAACTGAGTTGCAGTGAATGGTGTGCTTTGGAAGGGAAGAAAGAGTGGAAAGCAGCTTGGTTTCCCTGGCGGAAGTCTGTTTACCGCGTGCATTGATTACTTTTGCAGCCACACTCTGTAATGTGCTAGGTGACCTGTGATTAATGACGCCTGGACAGTAGCCTGGTTGCTTTGTTGTGACAGATGATGCCTCATCCACTTTATATTTCTGCTACTGGGGCTTCATTTCTATGAAAAAGAAAAGGCCCCGAAACCACTCCCTGCTCTTACAGGCCACTCCTGTCAGGTTGCTCCTTCTGGAGCACCTGCTTGGGTTCAGATGAAACTCAGTAAAATGAGAATATTAGTAAGAATCTGCAGAACCCCATTGGCACACTAGAGGAATATAATGAAACACTGTCATAAAACTTACTACAAGCAGCCTTTCTTTCTCCACATATTTTTTAAGAAACAGGGTATTTCTGTATTGCCCAGTCTGAATAGCAGTGACATAATCATGGCTCACTGTAGCCTTGACCTCTTAGGCTCAAGCAGTCCTCCTGCCTCAGCCTCCTGAGTACAGAGACTACAGCCATACACCACTGCACCCAGCTAACATTTTTGTATTTTTTTGTAAAGATGGAAGTCTGCCATGCTGCTGGTCTTGAACTCCTGACCTCAAACAACCCTCCCACGTTGATATCCCAAAGTTCTAGGATTATAGGCATGAAACACCACACCCAGCCTCTTTCTCCATAATTAAATGTACAATGTATGACCAAACCTATGTAGCACAGAGAAAGAAGGTGAATTTTGAATATCAGATCCAAACCTGACTCCTAATAATTCTAGTTGTCTGGCTTTGGGCAAGTTAATAAACAACTGCAAAATGGAAGCAAGGATTCCTACACCTGCTGCCTAGAGCTTGGGGGAGAATCAGATGAGATACAGTCTCTGAAATGTACCAAGCAGCAATCCGGTGACCTAAAGGTGATGCTGACTCACAGCTCCATCTAGGATTCTTCCCAATTTTCAAGCCAGTTGTTTGGATTTCTCTCAGGTCCCCTTTTTATAGGGCTGGTTTGAGCTGAAATGGAAGAGTGGGCCGAGGTGGAAGATAAGCTGAGAAGAGAGTTTGGGGTTGGAGTGTGAAAGGAGATGGGAAGCAGGCCCACAGGTCTCCCATTTCTTCCAAAGTGGCTCCCTAGGGCAATGATTCCTGTTCCAGCTCCCCTCCTCCTCCCCTGCCCCTCTGCATCATCCAGTTAATGTCTAACCCTGTGGTGCCTCCTTCTTCAGGGAAGAGATAAGGAGTTGGCCTCCCGGACAGGCCCAGGCTGCATACCTCAGTGCCCTGGGCTCTCAAGGGCACACCTCTGTGATCAGGTGCTTATCTCCAGGTGTTCGCCTAAAGGGAGGTCATGAAAAATCAACACCAATCAGGGCAGTTTCCTTGGAAGCTGAAATTATCTCACAGGCATCTCAGAGCAGGTGCCAGGCTATTTTGGGCCAGCAATCACAGTGTGCAGGGGGGAGCATCGCCTCTCCTCTCAAACCAGCCAGCAGCCTGGAGAGCACCAATTATGGCAAGCTGCTTCCAGCCCATTATGTCTGTGCTGCCATCAAATGGAGCAGGGTGTCCTGGCATGGCATGGGTCTGTTGCCCAGTCACTGGCAAGGGCTCCTCTCCAATTGATGAAATGATAGGGGCTCAGGTTTCTGTACTGAAACAGAGCTTCCCTCTCCTATATGGTAAAATTCACATTTTAGCTTGGAATTCAAGTCCTCCTGATTTCCAAACTCACTGCAGCCTCCACTCAAAATCTTTGCCTGGATTCCTCTCAAGTTCACTTCCAGCCCAGGCCCTGCACTCCTGTCAGGAGATGACTTCATTTTAGCCCAGATGAGCTCTACTTAGCTCCAGACTTCTGCCCAATCTATCCTCACCTCCTCCCTTCTCAGGAAAAGCTCCTCTGTTTGGTTTTTTATTTCTCCAGATTCCCTGTCTTCATCAACATGCACTTCCTACCCTGACAGCTGCCCCAGCCCCAGAGAGATTTTTCCTGTTTCTGCCCAGGCATTGTTGGAACCACAGAAGCCAAGCGTGCATCCCTATGGACACTTCAGTGGGCAATGATGACTTCCTGGGCTCATTACACATCCCTCCCCAAAGAAAAATAGAAAGACCCTCAAAGGTCTTTTATTTCTTTGTGTCCCCCATAGTATCTAAGAGGAAAGTCTGGGCACCGAATAACTACTTATTTAATTTCCTACCTCTCCTAACTCCTAAATCTTCTGCAGAGCTCAGGATCTTCCCTGCTTTGCCAAAATCTCTTCTAGCCGCTCAAATCCTCAATGCTAGTTATACTCAGAGGCAACATCCCATTTTCTAAAGGCTTGTGATCAGTCAGTCCTTTCTCTCCAAACACTCTGTTTCTAAGAATGGGGCATGTCTTATGTGTGCTTACCCAGGCAACATAGAAAATAGGCGCTCAGTGTGTCTTCTGTTTGCCTAAAGGCTCTCCAGCTGGTGATCTGATTTCTAAGAAGGGAATAACTTGCATTGTAAACTGATTTATTAAAATAGGTGACCATCATCTTTGTCTTTTAGAAGACAACAACTTTAAAAATATGCTACAGAGAGAAAGGGCAATGGAAAAGACAAGAACTAAGGGCAGACATTATTTTTAAAATATCAGGGCTCTGAACAGGAAGGGGAGATTTTGTAGTGCTGTACATTGAAAGCTTATTAAAGCAGTTCCTCTCTCTCTTTTCCTCTTTGTCCCTCTGTGTCACCCCTAATGTATTCACTTTTTTTTTCTACTTGCTCCCTTGCTTCCAATATTTAAACTTTAAAAAAACATGGAAATAAAATGCAATGGACAGCATCCATGTCTGTCAGTTTCTGTTCTCTTACCCTGAAACTGGGTAGCACATTGTGTCATTCCTGTCAGACCACCCAGCTGGAAGTGCCCTCTCCTCTCTCTGAGACCTGAGAGCATTTTGTGTCCCTCTGATACAGCACAGATGAAGTCGCCCTGGATTGTAGTCATCATGTGTGTGGTTTCTATCCCTTATTTGAGAATAAATCCTTAATAGAAGAGACTGGGTCTCATTCATCACCCAGTAGCCACGGGACAGAATGCAGTGTTTTTTGGTATAAGGGGTTGGTCTTCTGGTAAAGGAATGAGTCAGCTGCCATTTGAAACCATGATTCTCTCCAGGCCTTGGCAGCCCGTGGACACATTGATACTAATCACCATATTTTGATCCCACCCAGTTCCCACCTACACAACCAGACAGTCTCACACATTGACTCGATTAGAATTAAGAATCAAGGAAAAAGGCACCTCTGCAATTTTATTGAATGGAATCGCAGTCAGAGCCCTAATATAAAAAACAGATGGGACAGTTTAAAACTTCTGGGCTTGGCAGAAACCACTTTGTTGTATGCAGAGGACTTGTAGCAACCCCAAGTGGCCCCAGAACTCTGTGCCTGCACCCAAGGGACATTGTTGGACGTAAGAGCTAGGTTGACTCAAGCACAGCCCTGGTAGCCCTCTCCTTCTTGGCCAGGGCTGCTCGGCTTCTCCCTGCTTTACAGTCTGAGATTCCAGGTAAGAGTTTGCTTGAAGAAAGGCTTGCAATACTTCGTTTAAAAAAATCTTGAAAATGACTTAATTAAAACCAAGTTTCATAATACTTGCTGCATGGAACAAAATGACATGGCCCTAGGTCCATCTTCTCCCCAGGAACACCCCTTGACCACTTTTCCAAGAGCCTCTTTAGACTATGAATCACTGGTTATATGGTTGGGCTCTATGTCCCGACCCAAATCACATCTCGAATAATAATCCCCACGTGTCAAGGGAGAGAGCTGGTGGGAGGCGACTGGATTATAGGGTAGTCCCCCCATGCTGTTCCCATGGGAGTGGGTGAGTTCTCACAAGGTACGATGGTTTAAAAGCCTAGCACCTCTTCACTCGCTCTCTCTCCTGCTACCTTATGAAGAAGGTACTTGCTTCTCCTCACCCTCCATCATGATTGTAAGTTTCCTGAGGCCTCCCCAGCCATGCAGAACACTGAGTCAATTTAACCTCTTTTCTTTATAAATTACCCAGTCTCAGGTAGTTCTTTACAGAAATATGAAAACAAACTAATACAACTGGGCAGTAGAATGTGAGCTGGGAAATGTGGCTGCCAATTGATCTCCGCTGACAGGAATCCTCCGGTGTCCCCAACCCACTTCCAGACTTTTCCATTAATGTTTTTCTTTCCCGGGAGTGAATAACTGAGTGTGAGAGTCAGCAGGGCTATTAGCATCCAGACCAACTCCCTGGACTTAGAGATGATGAAATCTACTAAAAATTACAAAGTGACATGCGCAGAGACACGTAACTAGGTGGTGGCTGTAAAGACTCATTCTCTTCGGGGTCTTTTCATGTTTACAAGTTTAAAATATAAAATATCACACTAAGCAAAACCAGGGAAATCAGAGGACTTAGGGCATTAGCTACTTCCAGGTAGGTCCACTTTCTGTCCAAGGCAGAAAGTATAGGTTTTTCTAGGTATCCAGGAGCAGCTGGTATATCATCACCCACACTGCCTGGGTGAATAGCTGGTGTTACAGAAACTTTTTTCCTGATAAAATCTGATCGTTTCAGCCACAGGTAAGTGGCCTTGGACTCCAAGACGAATATTTAATTCCCACCTTTCCTAATTTACCTGCCTCTGGTGTATGCTAGATGGAGCTAGCTGCTCCCCCACCCTAGGGACAGATCTGCCATGAGACTGGAGCTCACTGCAAGGGCACCAGCTTGACAACCTCCAGCATAATAAAATCCACCAGAGCCTGGCACTTTTGTGCCTGCTCACATCCATTCCTCTCTGCCCCTGCCTGCCCTCCCCTGTGCAACGACCCCCCCCACCCCCAGCCAAATCAAGAGCATTGTATTTCCCAAACCCCATCTCACAGCGATATTGTTTTATATGGCCCCTCCAAAATACCTTGAATAGTCCCTTTTTATCGCTTCCATTTTCTGAAAACTCCAGCTGCTCCTCTGAAACCATCCAAATCTAATTAACCACAGAAGCTGGAGTTAGGGAGAGTGGCTCACTTTCGGGTCCTTAGCATACCCATTCAGGCCTTCTTTCAATATGGGCACAAAACCAGGAATTTCTAATAATTGTATCTATGGGCCTAGAAGGGGGAAAAAATAAAGAAAGAAAGAAAGCTGCTAATAAGTAGGTCTGTGAAAGGAGGGAGATCAGCACCTCACATGAACTTGGCAGCCTGGCCCCGAGAAACTTGGAGACAATGCCACTGGGGGATCTAAAAAGCTTAGCCTCCTGACTCAAATCTTGTGAGAATGTACCCAGCCTGTGAATAGAGATCGGAGTCTCAGCCCTAAATTGTCCCAGCTCAGACTCATTGAAATGTCTTCTCACAGAATTAAAAAAGAAGAGGGCAGGAAAGTTTGCTGAATATCAATGAGGCCGTGCTTAGAAGTGGAAGATGGAGAAACTCGGAGGTTTATTCCTGAATGACATGGATTAAGACAAAAGTAACACATTGGGTCTTTGCCAGGTGGTGCTGAAGGGGAGGGGCTATGCTCCTCCGGCAGCTGTGGAGGATGGAAGCTACCTGGGCATAAGCCACTTCCTGGAGTGTCACACTGGGGATGGGGATAAGTCACCTCCTCAGGCCTCACTTCTCCTTTCACAGATGAGAGGTGAGGCTTGGTGGAGGAAGGGGCTGTAGCAGGCACCCATTGACCTGGGCCTCCTGCCTCCCCAGAATGGCCTGCCTCACCATTACAATGCAGTCTCCTCAATCGCTTTGCTGAAAGAGGCCATGTATAGGTAATGACTGTACCCATCCTTCCAGGTTTATTTCAAATGCCCATGCCTCCTTAAAGCCTTCCCATCTCACCTCAGCTCCCTCCATCCCTCAGCTCTTCCCCATGCTCTGTAGCTCTCTGAGCCACTCCCTCAACTCATCAGCCCTTGTCTCCTACCACAGGTTTTGGATATTTTATTCCCTGCTGTACATGGATGATTGCAGGGGTCAGGGACCGCATCATTTGCTTCTGGTATTCCCTGTCCTTTTCTATGCTTAGAAGGCAATTAATTGTTTGAATAGAAAAATGACTGGCCCAAGCTAAGACTGAAATTCAGTGTCTTCTGACTCTTCAAATATCTAAAAATTTCACTATACTAGGTGTGAAGGCGTTTTCTGATGGTTGGTTGGTTGATTTCTCTTAAGCATTGTGAGGGTAGAAGAGAAAAGGAGTTGTTTCTCTGTAGTGTGTAGTATGTTGCAGGTAGACAAATTATAAGAATTAACTTACACATGAATTTATGTATACCTATGTATTCATATGTGCATATATATGTGTGTATACACAAAAATGTTTATATACATATACACATATGAAATGGGGATGGATGTGATTGAACAGAACAATTGTAGCAAGAGAGAAAACAGTTTTCTTCTGAACAATGTCCATGATGTGTCCAGTTGTTATAAAGAAAAACAACTACAGGGTTTACAAGAAGCAGAGACTGGGGGATGCACAATTTTTAGAATTGCGCTTGGCACCTAGTAAGCATGACATGTTTTACTCATTTTTATTATCAATGTTTTCTCGAGTTTTTTTCTCCAGGAGTAGGAATGGGTTCTCTTTTACAAACAGGAACTCATTCACAGGACCTTGCCAGCAAACTTTAATTAAAAAGAACTAACTCAAGCACCATTCTCTGGTCACCTCTTGTGACAGTGATCTGAAGCCCAGTTCAAGCTCCAGATATGAAGAGTAACAGAACTGGAGCAGAGTGAATCACAAATTTTGGGGAGTCATAGAATTCTCCTCAGATGAAATTATAGGAAGGTAAATGAGTCGAGGAACCCTCTCTGATTGAATGAGAATAGGGGAATAGGGGCCTTGTATCCTCTTCCTGCCTCTATCTCCTCTCCCCACTCCAGCAGCCCCAAGTGGACTTCTAAGCTCCCAAGCTCAGAGGAATACTACACTCTGCTTCTCCAATGTCCCAGTTTTACAGAGCTAGAGTTAGAAAATTCTGGGTGCAGGTCCCAATTCTTTTTTTTTTAGCTCTGTGACCTTGTGAGATCATTTCTCCATAGGAATCTTTGTAACCCTGCCTAGGCAATAGTCATTATAGGAACTTCTTACTTGATGTATCCTATAGGGTTGCTGCAAAATCCAATAAGACCATGTGTATTAAGTGTCTTGTTAGACAGTTCATCCACTTAATTTATTGAGCACTTACTTTGTGCTAGGAAGTACTTTGTACTTCATGGAGAGGAACAAAACAGGCATGTGTGCCTGCTCTTGTGAAGCTGGCAGGACAGCACACATAAAGAAAATGCATAACCCATTCAGGCTTCTGTGACATCCTGGTCTTGGTTGTCTTCCTTGATACTCTTACTTAGAGAAGTAACTGAGGATTAGAGAGATTTTGTGTCATGTCCAGCATCACAGAGGTTCCAGATCACCTATACCTCCCCACTCAGTGCTCTTTCCCTGTGTCACTTGGGTGACACTTTTGGTGAAGAGGTGTGTCTTTTGATGGTTATGAACACAGACTTTAGAGCCAAAAGGCCTGCATTCAGATCACAGCGCTACCACCTGGCTTAGAGCAAGCATTGTCTGTGTTATCTATTGTTACTGTTACTATTAATAGTATTGTAACTAGTCATTGTTTTTCCATCACAGTGAGTGGGCTCTCTCTTATACACTTAGCACACAGAATCTGTCCAATCAGCCAGTTTAGGGTTGCAGCTGAGGCCAGATTATCCCATAAACAGACTAAGCACATACACCCAAGGAAAGCAAAAGGACCAAAAAAAAAAAAAAAAAAAAAGAAGTCACCTTCAATAAACTTAGTTTTGTAATCAAAAAATTCCTCTAGCATGAGTAGAGTAAGCACCACTACAGTTTTTAGTTTTTCTTTTCCAAATAACTTACCATGAAGCACAGCGTGACCTGGAGCAGAAAACACAACACAGCTGCCTCCCTGGTCAGGTGGCTGACCCAAGCACCTTGACTTCCTCAGCAGAGTCCTCTAGCTCCCTGCGCTGGCTAGCCACAGCTGTCACCGCCATCACACCATCCTTTCTGGGCTCAGTCCCCCATTTCACCCAGGGGCTTCCTTGGCCTTCTTCCACGACTGCTCTCCTCTCCTTAAGAAAGGTTTGGTATAAACAGACTCTGAGCTCTGTCCAGCCAGGTGCTACCAGGCGGGAAAATGCATGTGGCAATCAAAGAGACAAAGGCACTAATATACTCATGCTGGATACACTGTGTAGCCACTCCCACCTACAAAGACAGTTTGCAGTGTGGAAAGATCCTCAGCAAACTGTGAATTAGAGAGCTATTCATCACTTCTACGTCCCTCTTCAACATCTTTTCTCTTCCTATAGTGCCTTCTCCTCTCCCACCACCCAGAAGCTGCCAACAAGCTGCATTCCAACTGCCCAGAAAAATTATCTATGGCTTTCTGCCTAGGACATTCCTCTGCCCCACCAGGATGCATGCATGAATCTTTCTCTCCCACTTCCTTACTTCCATGCTTACCTGGGGTGTGTGTCTCATGATTGAGGGAATGCTGGTATCTGGTGGAGTACTTATGGATACAAAAGCATTCAGGCTGGATGTGCTTTATAACAGCCATCTACCCCCTTCAGAATGGAACAGAGTTTATGTGTAAAGGTAGGATATCAGACCAAGTAACAGACCTGTGGGAGGAGTGTTTAAGGGCAGGGTTGGGGCTTACTGGTATCCTTTCAATCACACAGCGCGCAGAGGCCTTACACGAGGAGTGAGAAGTAAAATCTGTCAGAATCACAGCTCCATTTAGCTGTAGGGCAGGCAACTCACAGCAGCATGTAAATGAAGGTGTTTCTTTGATTTGAAATTGTCACATTGGTTTTATATTTTGAATCTGTAGCTTTTGTATTTTTAGTTTGGAGTAAGAGAAATGTTAGAACTATGAGAGAAATTTTGCATTCCACCCTTTTCATTTTATAGTGTGAAAACAGCAAGCCAGAAAGGGAAAAAGGACTTGCCCAAAGCCCCAAGCAAAGTGGTAGCTTATGGATTTGGAGGGGACTACCAAGATTTCCTGTATTTATGATGGAACTGGGCTTCCTATAGGTTATGGAAGAATGAGCTTCCTTGCCTCCTTTTATCTTTCTCCTGGGTTTTTAGGTTCTCAGAAACCAGCTGATTCATCATGTCCAAAAACAATGAAAAGAAAAAGTAAAGAAAAAATTATTTAGTGCATATAAAGAATTGCATCTTCCCATTTAAATGGCACATTGACCAAATCAGTGAGCAAGCAGACTAGAACATCGTGTCAACCTGTGGCCTCAACATTGTAATGGCCCCGTGACCTTCCAAAGGTCACTTTCCCCCAGAAGTCCGGAATTATGCTGGGGCTGTCATACCAAGCCAGTTGTGAACATTCCCCAACTCCAACTTCAGTAACCTCGTACTGGTAGTTTAATATTGGCCATGACACAAGTATTTACAGCATGGAAATCAGCAAGTGCTACAAAGCAAAGCTCTTTTGTTGCTGTTGAGCTGCTTTATAAGTTTTCTTCCTGCCCAGGGGCTCTGTTTACTCTGTATCAGAGGGCATCTTGGCTCAACTTACCTCCAGCTCCTGAGTTCAGGACTTGTAATCAGAACAAAGTGGCAGCTTTTCATTTAGAGAAAGAGGCACCAAAGGCTTAATGCTCTTTTTGATTAATCAAAGGCAAATCTTGAGCTCCCTGGTTGACACCTTGGATTGAAAACAGGAACATCTGGGTGGCTGTGATCCTTCATGTCTCTTTGCTTCTCTGTGCACAGTGGGAATTCCTACTGTGGGGATCCAGGAGGACAGAAGATAACAGATGCATTCTTCAAGCAGATTTAACTTGGGAGACATGGAGAAGACACACACTGATGTTTTCCCTTTGCCTAAATAAAGGGCACCTGAAACTTTCTGCAGGTATCCTGAGCAGTGCTTATGAGGAAGGCCCCTCAAGACAGTGACATGCCCACACTTATAGTTAATTTCCTGTGAATGTATAATTTGCCATGTTGCTGTTGAGTTTCATGATATTCAAATAT